CAGCTATGCGATCCGGGCTTGCTGGCTGGATCAGGCAGACGCGGCTCCCAATCAGGCACTGTAGAGGGCCGCTCGCAGTGGCCTCGGAAGAGCGAGCGGCCGCCCGATGACAGCTGGGTGATCGTGTCAGAGAGAGGGAGCCATGGCTTCGTTTAGCGGGGGTCGTGACGGCACCCCCCCTCAGTCCTGCGCCCGGGGGAAGTGCCCCCCCTGCCCCCCGGTTGTTACGCCACTGGCGGGAGGGGGGGTGCTTGCTTGAGAGTTACTAATAACACTCTAGTAACCAGAAACTAGTTATCCAGCACCTACTGATCCCCGTGGGTGCTGGATAACTGGGAGTTTAATGTAAAATACATTTAAAAATGCCCCCTAAAAATATTTTAAGTCTCCAGGATTAGCACGTATGCTAAAGTTAACAATATTCATGGTTAACTCTAAAGTGATGACTTGTACAAGCTTTTAAAGCATCTCCTATGGACAATTTGAGATACCATATTTTTTGCCATTTCACGAGCACACACAATTTTTTAGCTTGGCATGTTGGGTATCTATTTATTTGGCACAACCTCATCTCAAAACCTTTATATTTTACAAAAAAATGGGTATTATATTTTGTTTAAGTAACTTAAGTCAATTTTTTTCTGAAATTTTCGGTTAATAAGGAGTTGGACTGATATCACGCAACATAAACATTTGCAACTGCCACCATTTTATTCTACAGGGTCTCTGCTTTCAGGAAATATATAACGGTGGGGGGTTTAAGTAGTTTAGAGGCCTGAAATGTGGATTATAACATGTGTGCAAAATATGAAAAAATGGCTCTGACAGTAAAGGGGTTAATAGCAAGATGTTGCTACCTTAGTTATTTTTGGCCCCCCTCAAATGTTGACCACAAACTAATAAAGGGGGAAGAGCCATCAACAGCATAGATGGTCATATCAACATTATGAGAATAGCTTGGAAAAGCTCAGAATAGCAAAAAGCCAAACATGCTTTAGTAACATCTGTAACCTCTCCATGCATGAAGGTATGCCTATGCACTTACAGTATTTCTGGTCTTGAATTCTGATTTTCCGTAGAATTTATTGATTAAATAATTTACTTGTCTCTTTATTTGGGCAGAACTGGTTGTACGGCACAAATATACATTGTACAAAGCAATACAACAGTATTATGTTGATATATATATATATATAAAAAATCTTACTTACAATGTTAGGGTGTGAAAGACGCAGCAGCACTCCAATTTCAGTTCTTACAATTTTTTTGTCAATCTACAAATGAAAAAAAGTTTAATGTTTACAGAAATATCTCATAAACTCTGTAATACTCCTGGGCTAGGAACTGTACAGAGTGCACCAAGGAGAACATGCCTCAAGGGTCTGTCCTTTGGGTCTGACTGCATAATTACTTATCCAGACAGTATCAGTTTTGGGCAATATATTGTATAAAATTAACATACACTACCTGTCCACCACCTGGATTTAGCTAAGCAAGTAGGTCAGAGCCTTCCACTAGATAATAGGTCTAGGTTTAAGAATGTTATGCCCCCAAAAAATGAGGTCAGCTGCCTACCTGAATGTGCTGAATGACCAGATTTTTCCATCAATTGACTTTTTTAGACATATGCGATTCGTTTCGTTCCGAATCAAAATTCAGACGAATTTTCGGAGATTCGGATGCATCCGTAATTCCGAATTACAGAAATGGCGAATGCAAACGAATCCAAATTTCCAATTCCGAAATTCGTTAGCGGTAGTCCAGTTTGTGCACGAAATTTTGTTGCAGCAAAGTGACATTAGAGGGATTTTTTTTTTTTTTACAGTCTGCAGAAGAGGAAAAAAAAAGCGTGAGGTCCCCCTCCCCCCGCCCCACTATATTCCAGACCCTTTAGGCCTAGTAGGAATGTTAGGAAGTTAAAACAAAAAAAAGTGTGTGGGGTTCCCCCCAAAATCCATAACAGGCCCTTTAGGTCTGGTAGGAATTTTAAGGGAGAACTCCAGCCCCAGAAAATGGGGGGGGGGGGAACGGGGGGCCCAC